AGTTATTCTAGAAAATTTTCAAAAAATCCGCAATTGTTTTGAGTACATAAATGCATCTTTTTAAAACTGAATTTCTAGCTCTCACAGAACGACCGGTCGACTTAATTAAACTTCTCCTGTTTCGCCTCTTGAAGTGCTTCTCTCAATTCATAAGTTCTTTTGTAAACCTTGTTGTTATCCATACCGCATAAAAAAAATCTAAAATGGATAGGTCAAGTGACCGAGGAGACCCATGCAATTGGTCCACCTCTTTCTATCCCTGAGTCTACATAATTATGATATAAATAATTTTTAACATTTCTTTCATTGTGGGGGGGGGGTTTAGTGTGTTATAATGAAAGTCATGTTTGAGCCACTCTATTAATGCGCTAGTATCAAAATTTAACTTTTCTAACATGTCTTGAAAACCGTTCTCTAAAAAACGTAAGTAACGTTCACCGGTCAACGGCCAACGTATCTTCGAAACTGTATGGCCAAGAAAAGTTGAACCAATAATCCTACACGCTTTTCTTCATTTGAAAAACTCTTATTTACAATTTTTGTTTATTTTAATTTACAATGATTGGATGTGACAATTTCATATTTCTGAGAGCAACAACGATTGAACTTGTTTCCATGGCTAACTAAGTGAAATTAGTCAAGAAAGATAAGAATTGGCTATAACTCAGTAATTTTGCGAAAGAAACATATTATAGCTTATATCGCTGAAAAGCTTAAAAAATGGCGCTTTTTATGAAGTCATGGCCAACTATGGTTTCCATTTAAAAAAACATATGTTTGTGTCATATGTCAAAAATGACAGGCTTTAGAAAAAGTCGGAGAACACAATCTCATTAGGGATGTGATTATCTACAACTTTTATCTGAAAACTTTTTGTCTAAAATAGATTATAATGGAATTAGAGACAATTTTTAAAATAGCCAAAATTTGTTTTTTTCGAAATATCTAGTAAGCCATGAACTTTTTCAAAAATCTGAAAGGCGCATATATATGACCCCACAAAACTGCAATTCTTTCCCCATTTAACCGATTCTCTGTCTCCAGTAGTTTCCAAGATACCCATAGAGAACATCGTAGGAAACTCACCCTGTATGTGGGAAGACAATGTGCACAATTTAAAATTATTTTGAAATATACAGGGTGTTTCAGAACTAAGATCCATACCAAAGTTATATTTTTTCTTATGGAACGTGGTATTTTATTTCATTTTTGGATTCTTGGGCCCAAAAAGAGGCATTTATAAGGGTTAAAAATGTTTAAAATTTTTAGTTTTTGAGATATTTAAAGATATTTAAATTTGCATGCTACAATAGAATAGACTATTAACACCCTGTACATTACTTTTTAGAATTAATTCTTATGCTGAGTTTAAAGGTAGAGAAATAAACTTTACTGAAAAATGGTATTGGTTCCTTAAATTTATACAGGGCTATCAAAAGTTGCTGATCTATTTTAAGGATATATTTTATATAAAAACTTCGTTATTTTTAAATGCAACACCCTGTATTTTTTTAAAATAAATCGAAGCAGATTCAAATGCTCTTTCAAACTATATTAGCGTTTCCTATACCTATCTAGCTCAGATTTTGAATAAAAATCGATTTTTGAATAAAATGGTAATCAAGATGGCTGGTATCGCCATGGCAAATTTCTAGTGACAGTTAGTAAGTATTTTCAATGTCGACATCAGTTTATGGACATTACTATTTATAATTTATAACAGTTTTATTGCAGGAAATGTAAAAAACAGGTATTGCAGAAAATGTAAAAAGTTGACATATGATATGTCATTCTATTCAGAGGGATATATTTTTTATCGAATAAAGTAGAAATATACCGAGGGTGTCATTTAAAAATCAAAAGTTGTAGCCATGTCCGGTGAAACAGAATGTGGCCAAAAACAAGTGAATACGTCAATCAATCCTAATTTATGTCACATATTAATATTAACATACCAAATCTCGTTTTTTTATCTGCAAAAATAAAAAAATTATAGGGGTGAGCCACTTTCGAAACGCACCGCAGCCGGTATATTTTACAAAGCTTGTTGACCGTACTCACACACACATTTTAGATTTACAATTTATAAATACGTGGATAAGTCAATGTGAAAAATTGTTTAATGTATTTTTTGTTGATTTTTCTTCTTTTTCTTCCACCAATTATAGAGAAACTGATGACCAGATTGTGGTCGAAACGTTTTTATAACTAAATTATTAGAAAGACATAATATAACATACATATAATGTCTATTATTTAAACTAAATTGTATTCCTAAGAATTTGTGCATAATTTATAAATATTATAGTTCAAGAAATTAAGCTAAATTAATATTTTATATACAGGGTGTCCCAGGCTGAGCGTGCATTAGAAGTTTCTAGAGAATTACAACATCTATTTATAGCTCGGAGATTTTTTGCACATCATAGTTTCACAACGAGATCTATCGATTAAAAATATTTTCAATATGGCGGCATTTCCGGAAATACCGGAAGTTGACAGCAACTTTCTTATTTTAAATGGGTGCCCCCATTTTTAAACGGTTTTATTTAGCTCGACCCGTACGGTATTTATTTATTTGTTTGTTTATTTGGGTCAAAATTAGAAATTGAAATTTAGCTACCTTCCTGTTGTCAGATTGATCTGAAATTTGGTACACACCTTTAGTTCCGTTAGGCTGGTTATTGATTGTCAAAATCTCCAGTTACGATTATAGTAAGTCGATGCAATCCACACTTGGTATAGAAGAAAGTATTACAGCAATAGTTAATGGGCCCCACGTTTTTATTTTAGTCTAATATGCCTAAAAGCTATTCTGCCTAGTACTAAAATATTTCTGAACTAGAAGTTCAAAATACCTAATTGTTAATATTATTTTCTAGATTTCAGTGCACATAAGATAAAACCGTTTAACTTAAAAAAAATTTTTACCGATTTTTTATTTATTACATACTTAAATTCTCTGTAAAATTCTATGAATATTGATATTAAACACACTATACCTAACATTAACCGTTTTTGAGAAAAAAAATATTTAAAATTTTTGGACGAAAAAATCTACCTGTCAAAAAAACTTGTGTAGCCTAGAAGTCAAATTTAGTGATTACCACAACCACTGTGCCATAAAGAGAAAACATGTGGCTATCTATTTCAAAAGTTAAATTGTTCGAATGTCATATAATAATGGCCGCAGCTGTCATAGAATTGAGCGATTACAAAATTATCATAAATCATTTTTTTCAAATGAAAACCCACTTTTATTATATCACTATCACTAGTGAAAAGGCTTTTCAATTCGTTACTTTTTGGCTATACATGTTCCTATACCTAAAATAAATCGTTTTTAATTTATTTAAGATTTAGTTTTAAATCATATATTTTTCTTGATTTTAACAAGTAGCCTATGACCACAGATTATACAGATTATAAACTTATCGTCAAAAGTATTGCTTTTCGTGGTTCCAATTTTTGGAGTCGCGCACTAGTTAGGATACTAGTTTGCGCACAAACACGCCCACTTATTGCCTCTAAAATTGTGCACAGCGCCTGACCGGCCTTGTGGTCGGCCTAATTATAACGCTGTTTAAGTGGGAGTTTGTTTTGCGCACAAGAAAATTTACTCGTTTGCTCATCGTCATAAAAAACAATTTTCGTACCACGAATTAGAGACAAGATTTTTATCTGTATACTTATAGGATACCTAATTTGTGCTATGACTTTAAACGTCAAGTGATGTAAAACAATAAATTTAGCTAAATTTTTACTGCAATTTCACAAAATTGAAAATATTTCAAAAACGGTAAGGTTTAAATATAATAAACCTTAATCAAATTTACCTTTATTTTAATCGTAGAAACTAGAAATTTAATAATATACAGGGTGTTCCATTTAAAAAAATACAACTTTGATATTTTTTACTTATTTGGGACACTCTGCATCTTGTAAAATTATTTCTAAATTGTAGCTCTAATAGTCCTTCAACGAAGCTACAATACTTCGTGTCGTATGTGGTGAACAACCCTGTATATTAAAGAAGTCTTCAAACCGATTTTCTAGAGTACCAGTTAAAATGTCTAAAGTACCATAAAACACTGATATCTTGAAATTATCTTCAGAATTTTGATGTAGGTAATTATTCTGGATTCCATCATGAATTTTTTTATCTTGAAGAGCTAAGAGCTTTATTTACATCATTTTTTTTATCTTGAAGAGCTAAGGGCACGGTACGGGGACGTTTTTTTGCGTTAAATTTAGTTTTTCTATTTTTTTTTTCAAAGGGCGCCAGAGGCGCTAAGCGCCTAGGGGCGGAGGGGGCGTTCGCCCCCCCTATACGACACGCCACTGTATATGACATTTGAACAATTTAATTTTTGAAATAGATAGCCACATATGTTCTCTTTATGTCACAGTGGCTGTGGTAATCACTAAATTTGACTTTTAGGCTACACAAATTTTTTTGACAGGTAGTTTTTTTGGCCAAAAATTTTAAATATTTTGTTTCTCAAAAACGGTTAATGTTAGATATAGTGTGTTTAACATCAATATTCATAGAATTTTACAGAGAATTTAAGTATGTAATAAAAAATGGGTATTTCCGGAAGTGCCGCCATATTGAAAATATTTTTAATCGATAGATCTCGTGAAACAATGATGTGCAAAAAATCTCCGATATAGATATTGTGGTTCTCTAGAAACTTTTAATGCACGCTCAGACTGGGACACCCTGTATATATGAATATTTTTGTAATGCAAGCTTATTTTTACCATTAAGAATATAATTTAATTTAACGTTAAATAGAATGTTATATATTTTTTGAACAGTGGATTTGCCATTCCTATTCTAAAAGTATGATAATTATAATCTTTATACATATCTAGTATAAGATTATAATATCATATAATTTAGAATATACACAAAATACGCTGCATGCGTAAAGGTTTCAATTTTCAGTTTGGTCTGTTTATCTAAAATAAATAAAATCACTATGCATATTTTTTAGATATTTGAAGCATTGCAGTGGAGGACAACAAAGAAGAGTATCACTTGCAGTAGCCTTATTACACAAACCGAAACTGTTAATTTTAGACGAACCTACAGTTGGACTAGATCCATTACTAAGAGAGAAGTATATATGTATCTTCAAAAAACATATTTAAAAGTAATAAAATGTTTTATTTTATGTAAATGTATAACAGAATATGGATATATCTCAGTGAAATTGTGAAGTCAAATAATTTCTCTGTGGTGATTACAACACATTATATAGATGAATGTAAAGATGCTGATAAGGTAAGAATCATATTATTATATACTTATAGCGGTTTTACATCTGACACTTTATTTGCTAAATTCGTTTGATCAATAGCCCCCCAAACACCAGAAGATCCATTTCGCTGACCAATCTAATCTAACAGTTCAAAGCCGCCGATTTGGCCTCTCACAGGCTTGGTCTACCCCAGACTTGGTTCGCCCCACAGACGCGAAGTTTTTATTCGCAGGCGAAGTCCGCAGGCCAAATCTTCTGGTGTGTGGGGGGCTAATATCTTGTCCAATTTATTTCACAGTGTAAAAGGACAATTTGACGTCAAAAGTTCAGGTTCATCGTGCCAATATTTAGGCCAGTAATGGTAGCCGAGTATTATATGTACCTAAAGGTGGAAAAAAATAGTAACCAACCAATCTCAACGGGAATAAGTAGATAATGATCTCCTATTTAACCCTCCAAAAGTCCCATTCGGTCCCAGTGGGGGAAGTTTGAAAAAGATCGCTGCCATCTTGGATTTTTTCGTTTTTTTTTCAAATATCTCCGTTTGCATAACTTTTTTCGAAAAAACTAAAGATATGTTTTTTAAATTTAGAATATTTTACCTTCAATCATTTTTTTTCTAAAATAAATGGTAATAGAGATAGAGCAATTTTTTATTATACGGTTTATACATTTTCCAGTTTTTTTAAACCAATCAGCTATAATTTTTGCGTTAACAGTATAGTGTTAATATAGATAAACCAAGTATAAATTTAAGCATTAAAATAATTTTAACAAGTTATTAAATAAAATCTGCCTAATAATAAATGACGTCATCCTGAGCGTCATTTTAGCCTCAACTAAAATATAAAAGTTTGTGCAACTAATTCCGTAGCACTGACCACACTTTGAAGAACATGCAAAACCCAGTTTTCTACAAGAGCAATTTTTAGAGCACTGACTCTCTTTGCAATTGCAAAAAAAAATAATTTTAGTAGGTCAGGAGGCGCCACATCTTCTGTTGAATGAATAGGTGTCATACATTGCCTTTTTGATCTTTCTTCCATCCAAACTTCGCTCTTTCCATCTTCCCCTTCCCAACCATCCTTCCTTCCATCCGTAAAGGATCTAACTTGTTACCTATCCATTCTTGAATCTAAACAATATAACTTATAACATTTCCTATAATATATATAGCTTTACAGTTACCTGAAGTATGTCCTGAGTAAATGGGGTTTTGCAGAGATCTCAGTTGGAGGCAAATTAGCTAAATTAAAGGTAGTCTTAAGGAATTCTCAGATGGTTTATATGTTTAATATAGCTTGGGCAGTGATATAGCTTTAAAAGATAATTTAATTCTGACTGAAACAAGTCAAAAATGTGCCTGTCGGTACTGAAAAAAGATGACGATCTTTGTCAATACCTCGACGTAATTTTAGAAAAAAGTCCTAACAAAGATGACTTGCCTGAGCTGCCACCAAGCCCAAGCTATATTAAAAATATTAACCATCTGAGATACACTCTATACAAAAGGATTACATCAAGACAAGCCCTTAAGACTACCTTTAATTTAGCTAATTTGCCTCCAACTGAGAACTCTGCAAAACTCCATTTACTCAGGACTTTTTACTTTCAAGTAACTGTAAAGATATATCTGTTATAGGAAATGTTATAAGTTGTATTTTTTAGATTCAAGAATGGATTTGTAACAAGTTAGATCCTTTACAATATGGATGAAAGAAAGATCAAAAAGACACAATCTGATACATACATACATACATACATACATACATAGCAATCTGATACCTATTCAATCAACGCCTATACGGCGCCTCCTGACCTACTAAAATTAATATTTTGCAATTGCAAAGAGTCAGTGCTCTAAAAATTGCTCTTATAGAAAATTGGCTCTTAAATGTTTCAAATGTTCACTTCAAAGTGTGGTCAATGCTACGGAATCAGTTGCACAAACTTTTGTATTTTAGTTGAGGACGAAAATGACGCTCAGGATGACGTCATAGTTGATTTTATTTAATAACTTTAATTTAATAATAATTTTTGTAACAATAATTTTATTTAATAAATAATATTTAAATGTTATTTTTAATTGTTTTAATGCTTAAATTTATTGGTTATCTATACTAACACTATATTGTTAACGCAAAAATTATAGCTGATTGGTTTAAAAAGGAAAAAATTGCCCTATCTCTATTACTATTTATTTTAGAAAAAAAAATGATTAAAGGTAAAATATTCTAAATTTAGTTCCCTACAAAAAATATATCTTTAGTTTTTCCGAAAAAAGTTATGCAAACGGAGATATTTGAAAAAAACGAAAAAATTCAAGATGGCGGCGTTTTTTTTCAAACTACCTCCACTGGGACTGAATGGGACTTTTTAGGGTTTAAATAGGAGATCATTATCTACACATATATTTTAGGAATATATTTTAGGGGGGGGCAAATAAAAAGTAACGTAGAATATACTTTTTAGAACGACATTTTTAACCCAAAAGCTTAATATTTAACCCAATTCATAGATTTTAGGGGGGGGCTTGGCCCCGTGTGGCCCCCTCTGTATCCGCTACTGAGTATGACCTTGATTTTTAAAATAAACCTCCATCAAATATCATAAACCTCAACGAAAATAGATCCCACGATTCGAAATTATTAAAAATACTACTTGAAAATTATATGACCAATCTGAAAACCGTTTACAAGCCTTAACTTTTTGCGTTAAAATTAATTGTCTAGAAAAATTACTTCGGTTATTGGAAAACAGATTAATTAAATAAATAGGTCTATAAATTATAATACATTGATGGTTGGCAAAAAATCAATTAAATTTTAAAGCAACATTCTATAAAAGTCGTTATTATAAAAATTATGTAGATAAAATAGTTTATATCCTTACTTATTATTTTTAATTATTACATGCAAAAAAACATGTTTTTTAACTCATCAAATTAACAATAATTTTATTAACCTGATGGCATCAAAAATGAAAACCTGTGTAATTTAAATAGCTTAATTAATTAATAATATCACATTATACAGGGTTCTCCATTTTTTCAAAAAAGCTCACAAACTTTTTTACAAAATGTGCGAGTCATTAAACTGTCGAAAGAGTTCAACAACGAATGTCTCCGGAACAAAAACAGCCAATCTCAAAAACGAAACGGGTTTGTAAATTACACATTTAGGACTACAATATATTCCCAAATAAGCAAAATTGATTTTCCAAAATTTTTCGAAAAAATTCCTCGTCACCCCTCTGTCGATTTTCTCAAAAACCGAAATGTCTCAGATCGCAACTAAAATATTCTTATTGATAGTTCATTTTACGTAGAATTGACTGCAGCAAACTGTTTACCGATATCTCTAAGAGATTTTCAGTTATTTCGCGTTTTTTTTCCGACGGGGACTGTCAGCGGCTGAGTAAGCGATTTCTCCAAACCGTCTATTTTTACAGGATTTTGACACAAACGGTCAGCCGCTGAGCAAAATTCTCAGTGGTCGGTCAGCCGCTGTATTCCAGAATGAATTTGTGCGCGTTCAGGGAACACATACGGCTAATTTTAATTACTCCCTATTTATGAATTTTTCCATTTTATTATTTTATTAATCTATTTTTTAGATTGGATTAATGAGAGGAGGAAGGCTATTGGCAGAGACATCACCAGCTAATCTATTATCGCATTTTCATACAGACTCTTTAGAAACGGCATTTCTTGAACTATGCAAAGCACAAGATAAAGAAAATGATAATACTCCTTATACTTTTGAAAGCCATAATGAACAAATTTTGGAGCAGTTGTCTGTACAGCATTTGATAAAAAAATGCGAATTTGGAGATGTACGTCTTGAATGTTTTAATTGAACTAGAATGGAAATTTCTATTACCTTTTTAGCGACATCATATCTATCAGGAAAAAATGAAAAAGGAAAAACAGGCAGTTTCAGAAAATATTGGTTTCAGCTTAAACAGAATGCATGCACTTCTTGTTAAGAATTGGAAACAATTTTATAGAAATATTGGGTAAGCATTTTACATCGCATCTCAATATGTCAAGTCTCATTTAACTAACTAGATTATTGATTTCCTGTAACTTCGTTATGGATAACGCAAGAATCGTAATTTTTAGTCGTCAAGAGAATATTCTATAACTGGCTAATATTGCCAATTAATTCTAAGATACTTCTAGAAGTTTCACAAACTTTAAATTTTGAATTTTATTTCGCGTTTAGCCTATAGGTAACCAAACGAAAAAATGAAAAATCAGGAAATTTCTTCTTCCTACTCTATATTAGGCAGATTGCTTGTTCATTCTTCGCATCATGCCTACAGTTTCAATCGATGGTAAGGTAATTACACCATCTTTTTCTTGGCCTTCCCGTACTTCTTCTTCCCAGTGGTGATTTGTCTCGAGCTGACCTTACTATTCTTCCCTCGTCCATTCGGCTTATATGTTCATTCCATTCGCGTCTTCTGCTCAATACCCATTCTATGCCCTAATGCTATCCACCTTGCATGTTTGCCTTATGTTGTCGCTTCGTTCTCTATCTAGCAGCGTTTTATCTGTGATTTTCATCTCGCTTGTTTCCAAAAATATTTTTGTTTTTGCTGTATCCGGTCTGGTTTCTGCTGTGTAAGTCATTATGGGTCTGACGACAGAATTATATATTCTTGACTTGACCTCGACACCTATGTATTTATTTTTCCATATGGTGTCGTCCATACATCCAGCCACTCTCATTGCTTTTGTTGTTTGTTGTCTTACCTCTGTTTCGATATCGCCATAACCGGATTACTCTATACCGAGATATTTAAATTTCATTTCTTTCTTTATTATTGTATTATCCACGACAATCTTACATCTGATACGTATTTTTGATGTTGTCAGGATCTTTGTTTTGGATGCAGATATTATCATGTTATAAGATTTTGCTTCTAGATTAGGGTTGCCAAGTGTCCTCCTTTCGGGAGGACAGTCCTCCTTTTAGAAGAAATGTCCTCCTGCCTCCTTTTGTACCCAAATGTCCTTCTTTTGCAATCTTTGACAAAAAAAATACCTTAAACCAGTGAAATCTAAGTTTATTATAAAAAAATAGGTTTGTACCTGAGATGATGTGAAGTTGGTAATATTGATATGGATGCTTTTTTAGTTTATCCTTGTTATTCATTATGTAGATACCTAGTTTTTATTTTTCTTTAAAAAAATGTTTTTTTTTCAATAAATCGTTCATGCAGTATTGCAATCCAAATATTTGTATACCCCCCTCCCCCCCTCAAAAAAGAAATGTCCTCCCCTAGCTTTTGAAAAACTTGGCAACCCTATTCTAGATTGAAGCGATATAATAGTCTTTGGAGGTCGTCCTAATTTTCTGTGAGTAGCACAGCGTGGTCGGCATAACATAGAATTGTCATATTACGGTCTCCCATTTTGTATCCATTTAAATGGCGCACTTGTTTGATTATTTCGCCCATGATTATTAAGTTATATTTTTTCTTATGGAACACCCGGTATTTTATTTCAATTTTGGATTCTTGGGCCCAAAAAAAGGTATTTATTATAAGGATTAAATATGTTTAAAATCTTTGGTTTTTGAGATATTTAAGAATATTTAAAAATGCATGCTACATTAGAATAGACTATTAACATCCTGTACATTGCTTTTCAGAACTAATTGCTGTGCTGACTTTTAAGTCAGAGAAATAAACTTTACTGAAAAAATTAATTCCTTCGTTTACTGAATACAGGGGTATCAAAAATTGCTGGTCTATTTTAAATATTTATTTTACATAAAAACTTCGTTATTTCAAATACAACACCCTGTATTTTTTCAAATAAATCGAAGCAGATTTAAATGCTCTTTCAAACTATATAAGGGTTTCCTATACCTATCTAGCACAGATTTTAAATAAAAAGCGATTTTTCAATAAAATGGCAATCAAGATGGCTGGTGTCGCTATGGCAATTTTCTGGTTAAAGCTAGTAACTCTTTTCAAAATCCACATTAGTTTGTGGACATTATTATTTAGATTTATAACAGTTTACTTAAATTTAGCTACAATAGTTCAATACTAATTAAACTTCATTATTCAGTATTTTTTCAAGAAAAATAAAGCAGTATCTGCTGGCGGAACGAATGGATATGTTACTAGTGGTTTTATTTTGTGAGGAAAATTGTTTCTTCGCCTCAAGAGTTTATGCTCAAAGATATAGGAATCTTCCTGATAAGCGTTCCTTGAAAAAATACTTTTCTATTTCGCAGAGCTATGGTAATGTGGTTTATAAAAAACCTATTAGGCAGAAACCTGTCGTTGGAAGTAAAGAAAATGAATTTGCCGTAATTGGCTCTTTTATAGAAAATCCATATATATACGAGTGATCATAAAATAAATGAGAGAACTACTTCTTCGTTTTTCTTGAAAGAATAATAAATACATATTTAATAAATATTATTTATTAAACTACTGTAGGCAAATTAAATAAAAGTAAACTGCTATACATTTAAATAAAGTCCATAAACTAATTTCGATTTTGAAAATAGCTACTAACTGTCACTAAAAACTTGACATCAGCCATCTTGGTTCCCATTTTATTGAAAAATGGCTCTTTATTCAAAATCTGAGCTAGATAGGTATAGGAAACCCTTAATAGTTTGAAAGAGCATTTAAATCTGCTTCGATTTATTTGAAAAAATACAGGGTGTTGTATTTGAAATAACGAAGTTTTTATGTAAAATAAATATTTAAAATAGACCAGCAATTTTTGATACCCCTGTATTCAGTAAACGAAGGAATTAATTTTTTCAGTAAAGTTTATTTCTCTGACTTACATTCTGAAAAGCAATGTACAGGGTGTTAATAAGCTATTCTATTGTAGCATGCATTTTCAAACATCTTTAAATATCTCAAAAACCAAAGATTTTAAACATATTTAACCCTTATAATAAATACCTTTTTTTGGGCCCAAGAATCCAAAAATGAAGTAAAATACAGGGTGTTCCATAAGAAAAAATACAACTTTGGTATGGATCTTAGTTCTGAAACACCCTGTACATTTCAAAATAATTTTAAATTGTGCACATTGCCCTCCCACATATACTCATAAAATATTTCGTTTCTACATCTTTTCGTTTTTGTATAATCAACCGAGGCGAATGAGGTGCGCCACCCTGTATATATTTTCTATGACTTTAATTAAGGGTACTTGTCTGACATAAAGTAAATGTACAACATCTACTAAGGGTTAGTTTAAGTTTTTTAGTACTACTGTTAATTTTAATGTTATGCTGAGAAGATTTATGCCTCTATAGTTTTATGGCCGTTCTTTATCTCCCTTCTTAAACATAAGTATAGTGGTACTTGTTCGCCATTCGTCGGGTATTCTATGGTAGCGAAAGATATATTTAATTAGTTTAGTTAGTTGCTGGATTAGATATTGTCCTCCATTCTTAAGTAGTTCATTCGGGATGTTGTCTTGTCCAGGACTTTTTCTGTTTTTTAATTGTCGGAGCGCCATATCTATGTCTTTACTTTCTATTTGTATGTTTTCGTTAGTGATTATCTCTGGTGTATCATTCTGCTCGATTGTATCTTCCTCTTTGCTGTAGAGCCTTGTGGGGTAGTCAACCCAAGTATCCTTTATAATATGCTGAGGTTCAATTAGTTCGTTAGTCTCCTTCTTTTGATTTCTAATTAATCCCCAGATTTGTTTTTCGAGATCGTAAAAGTCTCCTTCCATTCTTCTTGAGAAAACTTTCCAGTGATCGGCCTTAATTCTTCTTACTAGTGCTCTCGTCTCATTGCGAATTGCCTTATATTATTCATATACGTCTGGTGTCCTCAGTGTTCGATAGTTTAGATAAGCTTTCTTCTTTTCTTCGCTTTTATTATTGATTTATTGAGAGAACCATGGTGTTTTATTGTGTTTTTTGTTAGGTCTGCTTATAGTGCGGGTACCAAGTGCTTCGACTGCAGCTCCTTGGATGTTATCCTTTAATTTATTCCCAGCTGGGTATTTACATCTTCTATCTCATTTATTGGGTTTATATCTATCTTCACTTCTAATCTGTTTTGATACAGCGCTCTTGTCGAATAGTTCCATAACGTTTCTATATTAATTTTTATTCTTTTCTTTCTGGTTCTCTGTTTATTCTCTGGGAAACTTTGATCTGGGAAAGTTTTATTTTGATCTTTCCGAGAACAGACTATGATCACTACCGACACTGGCTGAATTTAATATTCTGACGTCTTGTATCTGTGTTGAACGTACCCGTCTGTTGCTTAGTATGTAGTCAGTTGTTGATCTTTGTCCTCTTGTGTTTTCGAATGTATATTTAAATTGAGGTTTATGATCAAAGAATGTATTATTTATTCTTAGTTCGTTTAGCGTGCAAAAGTTAATTATAATCTCCCCGTTGCTATTTAGACATTCGTTAAATCGTTGTTTCACTCTTGGTATTATTTCGCTGCCAATTTGTGCATTGAAGTCTCCTAGAATAATTATCATTTCATTTGCTGGTAAAGAATTGATCGTGTCATGGTTGATCATAGAATGCCTCGCGCTCGTGCCTGGGTTTATTATCTTCCGGTGCATATTTAGCGACAAGTATGCGTGATGATATATAACGGCATTCGTTTATATTTGACTTATATTTATTGTGTATCAGTAAGGCCACTCTTTCTTTGGCTCGTTCCTGCCTTTCGTCTCCACTGTAGATCATTAGGTATTCTTGGTATTGTTTTTGACCTTTTCCTTTCTTTTTAGTTTCCTGTACGGCGCAGATGTCGATATTATGATCAAGTAGTTCTTTTATTACTTCTTGTTCTGTAGCGTTGAGTGACTTGACTTGTCGGCTCGAGTCAATCTCCGCCTGAAGAGAGCATTCGTTGATATTCTTTATGATAATAATAATTATCATTATTATATTAAATATCTACATTTGTTTTATTCCGGACTGAAATTCTTATTATTTATGTATATATTTTATGTTTAATAATTAATTTATTATACTTTATTGATTGTGTGATATAAATATACATATATATTATTTTTAGGGGAATTTTGTTTCTAATATCTTTTCCAATATTACAATTATGGTTTTTTGCTAATTCTCTTGGAACTACTCCAATAAACTTAAATGTTGGTATTGTAAATGGTGAACTATCAAATACATGTTTAGAATTTATGAACTGGAATATGTCTGTCCTTCCTTCCAATAATGAGAAGTGCCAGTTGGAATATATCTCATGCAATATGATAAATTATTTTCAACCACCGATGATCATAAAAGTAGCTATTTTTTTAATTATTTTCATATACATATATTATAACAAACAATTTTTTTATAAAATTATTTTAGAAATTCTATAATTCTACATCAATTGCAATTGATGATGTGAAACATGGTAAACTTATCGGTGTAGTGGATATACCATATAATTTTTCAAAATCTTATGAAGATAGGGTAATATGTAATTTTTACTATTTCATTTAATTCAGATGTATACATGGTGTCTCTTCATAAATTACTTCACAGATACCGCACCTTAACGAGTTTGGCCTGTAGCTCAACGGCAAGTGTATCTGACCGATAAGGCTACGTTGATATAAGCTACGTTGATGATAAGGCTACGTTTTCATTCTTTCCTTACTTCTAGCTCTTTTTAATATGTAACATAAAAGTGAAAATAACTAAAAAACTATTTAAAAGGGAGGCAACCTTAACAGTATTGGGGATAAACCTAATTTCTGCATCTAACAGCAAAATAATATACTGGGGGTCCCAGGGATATAAATTTGGTCTCACCTTGTATATATTCTTACATCGAATTTAAATGTGGTTTATCGTGTAACGGTTACTTTAACATTACTGAATTACTATAGTAAACTCCACGAATGTTTGGGAGTGATTCATCGGTCGCTACCATGTGAACTAATCTGTTCAAGGTCACATAAAACTTAATTCCAGTGCCGTGGTGTTTCAAGTCATATAATAGTCAATATATAATCTGTTGTAATTTGTTGTTTTAACTGTCAAAGTCTTGTCAAAACCATGTCAAAACATATATTTGGTTATAAAATATAAAATGGAATGGCCCCATTGGTCGCACTGCAAGCACACCAATGGACTAACGCACAAAAACGAATCAATCAAAGAAACGCGATATAGTATCGTCTTTGTCAATCACGCTAACATTTTAGAATAAGTAGGAGGAGCGCAAGCATATGATTAGACCGGGCCTTCAAAAACCTACGTCTGCGGAAAAAAATTAATTTTTTAATTATTATTTAATTTAATGTAAAAATGATAGCGCGCGTGTCGATTCTAACATCATCAAGCGCTGAATCACTCCCAAACATTCGTGGCGTTTACTATATAGAGGGTAAGTTGTAATTTTAGGTAGCTTGTATCCTTGTTTTTTAATTTGTTCTTCATTTTTCAGAAATGAAATAAACTTCTTTAATGAAACTGGCCTGAAATCCAAAAACCAAGTAATATATTGATAGATTGTTATTGGTAGAATTTTAATTAACGTCATATTGTTTGCTGTTTTAAAATGTTAAAGAAACACAAAATTTATTTAGTTCAATGCAACGGAACGGGCGATACATTTTTAACAACAGCAAAAAATATAACTTAATCAAAATTAATAATATCTATCAAAGAACGAAATCGAAATTATATTACCATAGAAACGCGTCTTGGTTTTTAGGACTTCAACCATATTTTCATGTTTTTTTTTGAATTTTCTCTAAATCGGTATGGAAATATACACTCACCGGCAAAAAAATCGGCCACTAAAAACTAGTTCCAATTTCAGAGTTGGATTTCTCGCGAACCACTCATTAGATTTTGATGATTTTTTTTTAAATTGTAAATCAATTCCTTCTTAACGGATGCTACGTCAGAAATTTTTATTCCCAATTTATTTTGAGCATATACAGGCCACAACAATAAGACGAAGTTTTTTGCTCGAACTGACCCTGTAGGGTGCAGCAGCTGTGGTAGCTATTGCTAAATCAAATCACATTGTAGCCTCATCTTTTGTGAGCTCATATTTTTATAATCACATTATCTCTGTTTGTATTGGAGATACGCTGCTTTAAAATGAACGTCTCGAAAAAATACTTTGTAGACAAAACCGCGACCAAACCAATTCACATGTAAACGCGCAAACTGAAGACGTGCTCGACGATGTCTTGGAAGTAACTGGGGTCCTGTGGTAGGCCTCCTTGCAGACAAGCTGTTTTCTTTTAGTCTTTGTTGGATTGTTCTCTCACTGACTTGAGTTCTACGCACGGCTAGTAGCAGATGTCGATTCTGAAACGCTGTAATTCTACGATTTCGTAAAGTATTCAGGACAATACAGTGGTCGTCAATTGCATTTGCCTTCCGGAACCCACTCGTCTGGTGAAATTTCCCGTTTCCATATACCGATTCCAGGCATCCTATGATAATGGCATTTTTTAATTTGACAACCATTGTTGTCATGTTGCAAATACTCATAAATCCGTTTTCGCCTATGTCGCCTTGATTTTACACCTAACACTTTCTGCCTGCGAAGCATTTTTCCAAGACGTTCGCTTTAAAGCAGCGTATCTCCAATAAAAAAAGAGATAATGTCGTGATTACAAAAACAAAATGCTCACAAAAGATGAGGCTACAATGTGATTTGATTTAGCAATAGCTACTACAGCTGCTGCACCCTACAGGGTGTTACAAAGTTCCGGCAAAACTTCATCTCATTCTTGTGCCCTGTATATGTTCAAAATAAATTCGGAATAAAAATTTCTGACGAAGCATCCGTTAAGAAGGAAAAAAAATTTTGAACAAACAATTTAAATTGTAAATTAGCAATTTAAAAAAAAATCATCAAAATCTAATAAGTGGTTCGCGAGAAATCCAACTTTGAAATTGGGACTACTGGTAGTTTTTAGCGGCCGGTTTTTTTGCCGGTGAATTTATAAATGTACCTATAAACGGGATTAACCATTTTAAAACAAGCAAAATTTTTTCTGAAGAATGAATTTTTAAAATGTTAATAATAATAGTTATTTGTGTAACTAGTGCAAAAAGTACATATTTGTTGTACGGCGCATGAGCTTCGACTTCGTCTCGAGCTGCAATCATGCTGAGCGCAACAAATATGCTTTTTGCACATGTTGCACACAAGATTTTTTCTACGATCGATTTGAAATTCTTATTTAAATGTTTATTAAAAAGTTTTTACAGTAATTCACACAATTTTTTAATATTTTTTTTTCTAGTTGATTGTAATTTTAATGTCGCAGTTTGAACAATTCACTAAGGTAATTGAGGGATAAACTTCATTTCCAGTAGTCTTTTGAATTTTATTCCCATTTCTGCTCGTGGAGGTCTCGGTTTCTTGTTCTTCACTTAAAACTCTTTTCCGGAATGTTGCTGCGAGGTGTCCAGTACTGGCAGTACTAGTACTTCGTTTACCTTCCATGATTTGGTACATGTTTAAGTATTTATAAGAATTTACATTTTTTCTCTCTTTAGCTCAACTTGTCATTAATAATGTCAAGGTGTTTTAAAAAAAAATGACTTTTAATACAATAGATAGTGTAAAAAATAGCTACTTTTTGCACGATCGTAGAAAAAAGTTCGTAGTTTTTCCTCTTGTAAAGACAATCCGGGGACGTACTGTATGTAAAACTACATATGCTTCAAAAATTTAATTTCATTGTAACTATGTAATTTCAGTTATAACTTCAAGGACTCTGTAACGTCATTTTTTTGTCGATGGTGCTATTATCTATCGATGTAGTTTCAGAAGAGACACCCTGTATAAAATTAATAATGGTTATTAGTTTTACACCGATAATTTAATCAGATAATAAAAATGTAATCGCAATCTTAATGCATTAGATCCGACTAGGCAATAAAGCCGGAAAATCCACTTTAGAGTTTGGCGAAATTAAAATTTTCTTGGATATGTCAAACTCACAAGTCGGTACAATGTTGCAGCGAAAACTTATCGATCAATTCACTGAATTTGAACAAGATCTTTTTATCCATTGTAATATATCAAAGAAATTGCTAGAGTTTCCTTTCAAAACAGAATTCTATTATGGAAACAATCAACAATCATTGACAATCTTCATGGCTCCTGGATTCATTGTATTGTGAGATTAGCTAAAAAAAACTGTTAAATTCTATTTATGTTATTTTTTATATTTTAGATTGACATTTTTACTAGGCTCAACGATGACCTCTGAAATTATCGTTAAAGAACGTATGGATGGAATTTGGGAACGAAGTATTATAGCTGGAACTTCGTCTTTAGAAATTACTTTGGCTCATCTTTTATTCCAATCGGCGATTATGTTCTTTCAATGTATAGAATGCATCGTAATGGTGTTTTTTCTATTAAGATTGGACGTAGAAGACAAATTGTGTACCATGTTTTTAATTTGTTATGTGACAGGTGTCTGCGGTATGGCATTTGGTAAGAAAATATATTACACATACAAGGTTAACCCACTGTATCAGACAGCTCTCAGGGTTCCAGTTTTAGTTTTTTGCTTTGGGGGTTCTAGCCCTCCCTTGAGTTCAGTCAAGCAATACGATATTATTAATTTATTTTTTCAAACGACGACGTTTTTCACTAAAAACTTCTTTTAACTACAAAACAGTATTTGTTCGTTTAAAGGTTTGTTCTCACAGCGTGTTCCCCACATGTATGTGACTTCTTCCAAACCGGTGTTAATGCGCAGGTCCCAAATAATGCAGTTTCTTGTCGATTTCAAACTGTCTGTGCGAACAGAGAATCCCCTACTCTTATTTTTTGATCTAATAATACCACTAATTTTAACTCTTAAGTAATACCGAATAAAGAAGAAAACGAACAGGGAATTAACCAAAGACATCTTTTAATGTTTTTGGTTTTGTTCTTTTTAATGTTTTAATGTTTTATAATTTTGATTCTTGGGCCTGACTCCATCAGCTCTTCTAGGTCTGTGTCTGTATCCGAAAATTCGGACGCCTCAGATTCTGCGGAAGATTCAAAATCTCTCATTTCTTTTCTTTATTTTTTGAATAAAAAAACACTAAACAAAAACAACACATGTTTTGTATGTTAAGTTTACTAATTAATGACGTCGGATCACAATACGCATGCGCCGGACACTTTATTTGCAAAAGATCCGCTAACAGGTCTAACTATCAGCTAACAATCAGAATTTTCTGTGCGAACAGCGTACTGTTGGTTGGAAACCAATCAAACATTTCTGTGCGAACGCGTTTTACCCTATTGCGCATGATTATCTGTTGGAAATATGTTTCTTACAGCTGTGAGAACGATCCTTAAATAGAACATATATTTTTTTAACAGGTTTCTTTGGGTCTTCTATTTGTAAGACTCCTACAGAAGCTAATATTATGTGTACTGGTGGATATTTACCTATGACAGTGATTTGTGGTAAGTTATATACCGAGTGCGTCTCAAAAGTGGCTCACCTCTATAACTTTTTTATTTTTTTCAGATAAAAAAAAACGAAAAAATTTGGTATGTTAGTATAATATGACATAAATTAAGATTGATTGACGTATTCAATTGTTTTTGGTCACTTCCTGTTTCACCGGAAATGACCACAACGGGGACTACAAAAAACTTTTGATTTTTAAATGGCACCCTCGGTATTTTTTTACTTTATTTGATAGAAAATGACACGCTGAATCGAAATGACATATCATATGTCAACTTTTGACATATTCGCTCTAAAACAAATTGTATTTTAAATTTCAATCTAGGTTGCGAGTCTTGTCCTGGCCGGTTAAAGGATGCCCAAATCGTATTTTTAATCATATCTCAATTTTTTCAAATGGAACGAGGTTGGCTCATAAGCATATTTGGAAAAAGCAGTTTTTTATGAATAATTTACAATTTCAAATAAACCATATGCGAAAATGTCAAAAGTTGACATATTTATGACTATCGAATAAAGTAAAAAATACCGAGGGTGTAATTTAAAAATCAAAAATTGTAGTAATTTCCGGTGAAACCCGAAATGACCGAAAACAATTAAATATGTCAATCAATCCTAATTTATGTCATATACTAATATACCAAATTTCGTTGTTTATCTGAAAAAAAAAAATTAAAAGTCATAGGGGTGAGTAACTTTTGAGACGCATCCGGTATAATTTTATTAATATATTATGTAATACAAAATTAGTCCATTTTTATTAGATTTGTTTTTAAAGACGTGGTCCTGGCTAAGCTTGCCTCGTGTTTTTTAGCGTCTCGTGTGTTTTAGCTCTTATATTTCCTTCTAATATACAGGGTGTCCCATTTAAAAATATATACTTTATGCCAATATCTGTGACATTTGACAGCTTATGATATTTTTGCTAACAAGTTATAAACTTAATTAAAAGGAAGTAGGTGCCGGCTTCCAAAATTCGGGAGCACAGATGCCGGCTCCGGAAATAAAAATGCCAACAACTTACCCCAGAGACTAACCAACGCTAAACAAATGTAAATTAGTAAAAACCAAACCAACCCCACCAAATAGCTAACCTAACCAACGCAATCAACCCCACCAAATAACCAACGCAACTAACCCCACCAAATTATCAGTCTAACCTCACCAAAAAGAGTGAAACCAACGCAATCCGTATTTTGATTGCTAATAAATATTTACAACTTTTGAGAAATGAGTGGATCGGGGTGATTTTTTTTATATGGAACACCCTGCATATTATTGCATTTTTGGCTTCCTTTCATATCACTTTACATAATCCTAAGATATGAGTAAATATATTTCGATAGTTTCAGAGATATTAATAAATAAATAAAAATATGTATTTTTAGCCTTTAAAAAAATATTAAAAATAAATATAAGAACAATCCTGATATCAAAACCACGATACACATAAACACGGTATGTCCGCGCGCAGGCAGGCTGGCTCGACATCGAATTCGTGACGTCACCTGCGCTGCAAAACGAGTCGCGCTTATGAAGAATCCGCATAAATAACGCGCGTTTCTTTAGAAAATACCGTTTTACATATGCAATTTTGAAGATTTCTAAAATTTGTTATGACTTATTGAGAACATTATTTAAGTGACAAGTAAAACATGATTCAAATAACTTAGCTACTACAAGCATGTCTGTACAATAATAATTACAATATAATTATTCAGGTGAATATAATTATAATAAAGGTAATCAATTTTCTTTCTACTGATTACAGATAAAATAACAAAATGTTTACAAGTGAATTATTATATTATCATAAAATTTTTTTTGACACCGATTGCCTTTATTAGGTGTATTAGGTGTTTTTACTAATTAAAATTTAAAATAAACAACAGGAAATTATAAAAAAATTATTTCAATTATTTTTTTTGAAGTGACATACTTAACACATAAATAGAGTATGAACGATACATGATTCTTTTTTAATATAATATATTGTGAAAATGATACAGTTTATTTTTTAGAGTTTAAAAATTTAGGCATTTTCTTATCCAATCGTTTACGACAATTTTCAAAACTAATTCTTCGGTTCAAGTCACGTAGTCTAATGTAAGTTCGTGTCCTTGCTAAGCATAAAATTACTTCTTGTGGTATTGTTGCTTTTAAATCATTGGTTAGTTTTGCAATCGTTCTGTTGCATAAATTTGTAAACAAATGTTTGTCATCTGCCAAGGAAGTACCATGCATTTCTTTAAACTCACGTAGTCACACGTAACAAATTTTCGTTTGGGTACAGTAGATTTCCGCGAGAAATAAAATTCAGCCAACAATGTGATGCTCTATTAACTTCTATATTTTTAGTTGCCACTCCCAAATCGTCGTATTTGCCTCTAAATTTATGAGCTACATATCCCGCAATGTATATTAAAGCGTCCTTGTTAACTCTGTCTTGAATTTCATAATTTTGAAACGACTCCTCCATTTCGTAATTAGTTCCAAATTTTTGAAGGTTTTCTTCTTGATACTGAGGTTTAATAAAACTTGAATTAGCATTTATGGCGATTTCATCACTACAAATCTGAACGTTACCAACACAATTGGCTTTTAAACTACTGAATATGCTTTCAGTCTTGATTGCTTTTAATGGTTGTAACAGGCAGGATTCTGAAGTTTCCTCGGTATTTTTATTTGTGGCGAATAATACACTCGAGTTTTTCCCTAAAACATACCATTTCAGGCGATATTTAAAATCTAAAGGATGAGGATGATCATTGGCACCACCTACGCCCCGTATATATGAAAAGAAATTTTCGAGGACATCCTGGTTGAGCCTAGAAGTCAAAATGTATTCTACATTATATTTTGCATTTACATATTTAAAGAGCTCTAATAAAGACTTATTAGTTAATAAAATTCCTTTTTTAAAAGAAAGGAGTGTTTTGTGTTTTCCAGCGACGATTGACAAAATTTCCTTTGATACTTTATGTAATATTTCTTCTTGCCTTTTTGGGTTAGTGCCAAAGCCATTCTTCTCTGGACAACCCATAAACTTTGACCTAGAATTGAGTAAATCGAACCAGTCATTAAATATTAGTACAATTTCGGAAACTTTTTTCCAGGAATAGCTGTTAGGAATGTATCCTTTTTCACCTAAATATTCAATTGCCTTTGACACAGAGAATGAGAGTAGTTGTACAGCTGGCCTAACCTGCTGTCTCTGTGATCCTTTGACATCTAAATGATACTGGGTAAGTTTGTGTGCTAGCGTTAATTCAGAGTTTGAGCAAGTTAACAATTTTTCAAAACAACTCCTCCGTCAATAATATGATTGCGAACAAGCTTAATTAAATGAGGAGCGTCTGCAAACACATAAACTTTTAAGGAGTCATTCGCAGGGCGATTAAAGAAACAAGACTTATCGTAGCTTATACCAAGTTCTGCCCAGAGTTTCCTGTTTCCAGGACCCATATCACTAACTACTGTAACGACAGTATATTTTACTTTATATAACTCGGAAATTACTTCGTTTATTATTTGAATGTTCATGGGCTGATCGAATTTATAATAAATAGGTTGCTTCCAGTGTTTAAGGAGTCCCCTTGCCATTATTGTTTGGCAATTTTTATGTGGACCTATTTTTTTTTCATTTTTTTTATCAATGTCGATTCGATTCGAGACATAAATTTCGTCGAAGGACAAAACGCAAAGTCTGTCAGTTTCACTTAATTCTACTACTTTAGCTTTTAGCAATGGAAATACGTTGTGTAAAATTCCTTCTTCAAAATTAAACGTACCAGCCCAAGTCCTGAGTGTCGAAAGTCCAGGTAAAGGAAATCCATTAGCTCTCAAATATCTATAAGCCTTTGGACTTACACTTCATAACGAAATTGCTGAGGCTATGTCTTCTGGCGACCAACGTACAGTTTTAATTTCAGGATTTAACATTTTTCTTATTTGTCCTGGAGTAAAAATCCGACTCAAAACAGTTTTCACTGCATCCGCATTTTCATTTTGCATCTTTTGAATTTTAAGTTCCAAGTCCTTTTTGAATTTTTCTAAACTCGCGACTTTTTCTTTTAATCTCATGATTTCTTCATTTCCCTCATGCATCCTACAAAATTAAAGTTGGACAATTGTTTTAATAGGCAACTAAATACAAACTTACTTTGTAGGCATGTTATAGGTTTTTAAGACAGATTACTTACTTTGGCTCACATTGATGTGTTGTATCAACAGAGTCTTTTTCCTCCCCATTTTCCAGTCCCGTCTGACTTTCAAATAACCCTTTTGCACTTGTCGAAGCTTCTTCATATTTTGTTAAAATATTGCTAATAAACTCAATCCGTCTTTTTTTGCCATTCGTATAGATCGTTTAAAAATTGGTTTCTCAGCTGAATTTCCAGGTAAATTTAACGTTGGAATTGCATCTTTCTTCAAGAGTCTGGCAGTTTTAGGTTGATAATTTAATAGTTTATACCTCAAAGGAATTTCATAACAATCGGAAGCAAAGTGGATTGAGCAAATTGTTGCTAAAAAGATATAATACGTTATTATTTTGAAGTCGTATACTATCTCTTCTATTCTCGAAAATCTGGCAATTTGTCTGTCTAAATAGATATCTACAGAAAAACTCACCATTTTTTAGATTAACTTTATCTTGGCGACGGCTGTTTTTTTTCGTAACCACTGTTTTGAAAATTCATCGATTTTCGGAAACCGAAAATATTTAATATCGGATCCTTTCGTATTTCTGTCATAGTTTTTACATCCGGTCACAGCACAGTTTACCATTTTTAAATAAAGTCTGGGGTATACTTGTTATTAATAACAATAGCACAATAAATCCCTAATATTTTACAAACATGCGTCTCTTGAAGATAAGACAAACTAATTCGATGCTAAATGCAAATATCGTTTGAACAAGCAACCAGACGCAGCGTTTAAAAAGATTATGTGTCGTATCGGCCATCTGTATAGGCTTGCAGCGCAGATGACGTACGTGCGCGGAGTTGACTAAAATGCGTCCTACTATCGGACATACCGTGTTTACCGTGTATCGTGATCAAAACTATATTTAGGTATTTACTTTAGATGGTCTGTACTTGCTTTGCTATAAATAAATATCGTAAACTTAAATCATACATGGTGTTCAAAATTCTACGCCAAACTCTCTAAAATATAAAATAATTTTTCTTTGTTTTTTTTTTAAATGGAAACAATGTATATTACATTTTTAATAGATTAAAAGGAGAGAATTTTATTATTTAGTATTAAAATATTAGTATTTTAAAATATTTAACGGTTTCGAAGATATTCGCGGTTTTATATTTCATTATGGCATGTTCCATAGTAAATTTGTATCTAAGCAACCCAATGATGTTTCTCCCGTATTTTACCGTTGAAAGAGCCATATAAAATAATACCGCGAGTATCTGCGAAAACGTAAAATTTTTTGAAATACTCTAAATAGAAAAAAATGTTAATTCTTTAATTCTCTATCTATTAAGAAAATAATATACATGGTTCTATTAAAAAAAACGAAGAAATGATTTTTTATTTTAGAAAGTTTGCCTTAGAATTTTGAACACCCTGCATGATTTAAGATTACGATATTTATAGCAAAGTAAGTATAGACCAAGTATAGAAATATAGTTTTGATTTCAGGACAGTTCTTTTATTTGAAATTTTTTTAAGAAAGGCTAAAAAATATATATTTTTTATTTATTTGTTAATATCTCTAAAAATATGGAAATATATTTACTCACATCTTAGGACTATGTAAAGTGATCTGAAAGGAAGGCAAAAATGCAACAATATACAGGGTGTTCCATTTAAAAAAATATATCTATCCACAATTTTTTGAGTCAACCTGTAGAAGTTAAAATATTTTCTTGAAATACATCCTAGTACATATTTTAGATTTCAAATTAAACATAATTCCCAAATTTTTTATTCTAGAAGCTACAGATGCCCGACGCACTATTGCCGAACCCTGTATATTGGACCATATCGATGCCCGACGCACCGTTGCAGAAAACTCTCTATCATGTTTTAATTTTCTAGAAACTTCTAGTGAAAGCTCAGCCAGGGTCAACACGTACAACAAATTTATTATTTAAACTCCAAATTTCTACTAGTCACTCCATGTACTTAAGTGTTCTTGACTTTTATTTTCAGGGGTAATTTGGCCAATAGAAGGTATGCCTACATTTTTAAGATTACTAGCAACAATACTACCGTGTACGACAGGTATTGAATCATTTCGGAATGTGATGCTAAAGAAATGGCCATTATGGCATCAAAGTGTTATTCTCGGTGTCGGAGTAGCAGTAATATGGATAATTTTACTTGCCACTCTCAGTATAATAATCATAAAGAGAAATAAATAGATGTATCTTAGAATTATATTCACAAAACAAAACCTTATGTCTAAAAAGTATTATTATGTTTATTATATATTTTTTTATATTTTATAAAATAATGATAAATTGCTATTTTCTAACAATACGTAATTTCTAATAACGTATACAGGGTGTCACAGGCTGAGCGTGCAATAGAAGTTTCTAGAGAACTACAATATCTAGATTCGGAGATTTTTTGCACATCATTGTTTTACAATGAGATCTATCGATTAAAAATATTTTCAATGTGGTGGCACTTCCTGAAATACCGGAAGCTTTACAGCAACTTTCTTATTTCAAATGGGTATCCCCATTACAATTACATGAATTTAAAAAAAAAAGTACAATTTTATGAATTTTGATATAAAACAGTCTATATCTAACATTGACTGTTTTTGAAAAAAAAAATATTAAAATATTTTAGAGGAAGAGAATTGCCTATCAAAAAAAATGTATATAGCCTAAACGTCAAATTTACTGATTACCACAGCTACTGTGTCATAAAGAGAAGACATGTGGATGTCTATTTCAAAAATTAAATTGTTTGAATGTCATATAATAATGGCAGTAGATGTCAAGGAATTGAGAGATTAAAAAATTATCATAAATCATTTTTTTTTCAAATGGAAACCCACTTTTTTATTTCACTAGTGAAAAGGTTTTTCAATTCGTTACTTTTTGCGCTAAAACTTTATAAAGTGTATTTATAAAAATATATCTCGTATTTTAGTGACATCTAATAGTTGATATGAATAATAAACAATAATAAATAAATAAATAAATAAATAATCTTTATTTCAAAAGTATGTTAAATAGCATAAAACGAAACAGAGTCAAAAACAAAAATAACTTAACCTAGTTTTATGATTAATTTATATTAATTTACAGATAGGTAATCCTTTAAATTATATGGTTCCAAATCTATTAAAAATTTATACAAATGATTTTTGAAAGGCACAATATTATCTATTTGTTTCATATAATCGGGTAGGTTATTAAATAATTTCAAACAATAATAATATGGTCCTAATTCTGTTAATTTAAGCCTGTGGACTGGATAATTATAATCAGAATGCCTGGTGTTATATACTATCTGTGGCTTATCAATGTTAAATAGGTTTTTTATTTTAAAGAAAAATAAAGTGCACTCCTGAATTAAAATAGCGTCACTGTTAGTATGTTATTCTCTTTAAACTTATTTCTACAAGATTCCTTAATTTTCATGCCTAACATAACGCGTAGGGCTTTTTTCTGAACTAAAAATTTTATGTAGTTCATTTGTACTTCCGTATATTACCATTCCATACCTGATGTTACTCTCAAATATGGCGTGGTATACACTTTTTAAAGTTTTAAAGTCTAAATATCTTTTTAATATGCGCAGATTGTAGACCGATCTAGAGATTTTCTGAGCAACATGTTTAACATGTAAACTCCATGAAAGATTTTTGTCTAGATATAATCCTAAAAATTTTACGTTGTTTTCTGGTGTTAAATGTGTATCGTCTGTAAGAATAATATCAGATTCTTGTATATTCGTGCGCTTCGTTTGAAAGAAAATAATTTTAGTTTTAGTTTTGTTCAAAATAAGCTGATTTTTGTTAAACCAAATGTTTGCATTGTCTATAATTTCCCTTGATCTATCTAACAACTCTGGCATATTTTTTGCTTTAATGAGGAGATTTGTATCGTCAGCATATGTCACTATGTTACAATAATTAATATTTTCTGTTATTTCTAATATATCATTTATATACACTAAGAATAAAATTGGACCGATTACACTTCCCTGAGGTATTCCTAGAGTTATATCGTCACTTTCAGTATTCATTCAATATGATTCAATATGATCGAAAAAAAAATGGCGCAAAGTTGGCTTGGAATTGACCATCCTTGATATACAGGTTTTTTAATAAAGTGTCGCAATATAGCATGGCTAGATATACCGTATGATCGAATAAAAACGGCGTCAACGATGGCTATGAAATGAAGATCGCTGTCATTTTATATGTAAAATTATATGGGAAATGTCATCGATCGTCATTTTCAAGCCAACTGGACGCCTTTTTTTTCGATGATACGGTATTATTTTACATTGCTTGACGATTAAAGTCATAGGCTACTGGTTAAAAAGCAGAAAAATAACGCTTTAAAACTAAATCTTAAATAACCTAAAAACGATTTATTTTAGATATAGGAACATGTATAATCAAAAAGTAACGAATTAAAAAACCTTTTTAATAGTGAAATAAAAAAGTAGGTTTCCATTTGAAAAAAAAATATGTGATAATTCTTAATAATCAAATATAATTAATCTGTCAGTTCCACGACAGCCTACGGCAAATATTATATGACATTCAAACAATTTAATTTTTGAAAAAGATAGGCCCATGTTTTCTCTTTATGTCACAGTGTCTGTTGTAATCACTAAATTTGACCTTTAGGCTACATAATCTTTTTTGACAGGCAAATTTTTTCTCCAAAAATTTGAAATATTTTTTTTTCTCAAAAACCGTTAATGTTAGTTATAGTGTGTTTAATATAAAAATTCAGAAAATTTTATAGATAATTTAAATATGTAATAAAAAATGTGTGTACCCATTTAAAATAAGAAAGTTGCTATCAACTTCGGATATTTCTGGAAGTGCCGCCATATTGAAAATATTTTTAATCGATAGATCTCCTTGTAAAACAATGATGTGCAAAAAATCTCCGATCTAGATATTACAGTTCTTTAGAAACTTGTAATGCACGCTCAGCCTGGGACACCCTGTATACTTATTTTTAGAAATTAATATTCGCAATGCTCACGTCTAAATTGTTTGTAATATAAAATATGTTTTCTAAATAAATCTTAGAAATAATACAGTCTTATTATTGATTGTCAAAAAAGTGACATGAAAAATTAATACAGTAGGATGTCTTAAGAAATAATAATATACTCGTAGACCTTAGGAATAAAAGACGAATATTTATTTATTTATAATACGGCCACGTGCACAAACATATGTTTTATTATTATTTCTGATTCAAATCTACATATTATATTTAGAACAGTTAAGGAAATAATTAATGATTTTGCGGAAATAATAGTGACGTACGTAATTTGTAGTCTTTTACAAATATTTAAATAGTTTTATTTTTTTTATCAAATGAGCCAAGAACTTTAAAACATAAAAAAAATCAAGAATTTTGACCTGTTTTTGACAAAATATGTCAAAATTCAAGGGTATATTGATTAATAAAAATATGCATTTTATTCAAAAATTTGAGGAGATAAAATTAAAAATGGTGTAATAGAATTGAGAGTCCGGATTGCACAGCGAACTTAGCGCGTGGCCGCGGGCAGCCCATTATGCAAGCGGGACATCGACGCTTTGCTGCGCGCCGATTTAACAAAATAAATAATTTTAAAACTGCCGTCATTTCGTTAATAATTATCGTATCGTGTTGATTTTTACATAGAAATACTCATGAGTCTTTAGCGCTTCCGACAAGCCTAAATAACTGGATTATTTTTTATATTTTCGATTTGTTTACATTGCGCGAGCATATTATAACTTTGAGATAAAAATCTCTGTTATAAATTTTAAAACTGACAAATATGGAATACTATCATTTAATTAGTTATACATTTAGTTACAACATATTCAAAATTTAGGTCTATCGGTTTATGCTAGCAGTAATAACGTGTATAAATAAAAAAATGGTCAGTACAACCACAGATTATACAGATTATAATCTTTGTTTTTTCTTTATTGTTTTTCGTGGTTCCAATTTTCGGAATTGGGCACTAGTTAGGTGACTAGTTTGCGCACATAGCACGCCCACTTATGGCCTCTAAAATTGTGCACAGCGCCTAACCGGCACAGTTATTAGAGAGATATCGGAAAACCGAATAGCGACATGCAGGATTTACGCGTACCTTATCATGGTTACGATATGCGCGAGTCAATTTTTAACGCAACACCCGCTAATAACGTTACCGCCTGACGTAATTTGCAGATCAATTACACCAAGCGCTCTTTCTAAATAACCTCTGATAACGTTTAAAAATTGCTTAAATGGGCATGTGCGGGTATTTGACAACCGGAGCCGGTCGGCGAGATCTTTTATTTTAGGTTATGCATGAATTGTTTTGAATTATTGCTTTAGTTTTATTAGGTAATTTGATATTTAAGTAGCTGGGATTAGTTTTAATTAAATAAATATGGCTCAAAATATGGATTCCACCTCTTCCAATACTAAAGAACCTATAAAGAGTCTTAGGTTTACAGCAGATGACGACTTAGCCCTTCTAAGAGAATTTGTTGCTTGTTGCCCTAAACCCACTGGCAGACGTTGAACAATAAAGCACCGGAAATAAGCACTTTAGCCCTTTAGTTTTAAAATACCTAGTAAACAAAACAATTTCAAAGGTTTAAATTCAAAGTTAGGTTAAATTTAAATATAGCGGACGCGACGCGATCAGAATTCTTTCCGATCCGATAACTATAAATGAAGAGAGTTAATACCACCTCACGTAAAGGAAATAAAACCTGGCCTTATTAACGTCCATGCACGCTATTCGGTTTAGCGATATCTCTCTATTACGCTGTTTATTGTTATTTTACGCGAGTTTATTTTTGCGCACAGGAAATTTGACTCGTTTGCACATCGTCATAAAAAACAATTTTCGTACCACGAATTAGGGACAAGATTTTTATCTGTATACTTATAGGATACCTAATCTGTGGTACAACGCTCGCCGTTTTTAGCGCACTTTCAGCTTTGGGTTTAGTTTTAGCGCTATTTTTACAGCAAATAAATTCTGAACTTTGATCAAATGACAAGAATATTATCATTGCATAATTCAAAATATTGCATTGTTTTAGCCTAAAAAAAATTGAATTATGCGGGTTTTTTTTGCGAGAGCTACCGGAGCTGCGTTAATAAACAGATGGCTATGTACGTCAATCATAGCCACAATAGACTATAATTTTACCTCGTCACGAGATTTTCTTGGAAATATTGCACTTCCATTTACCCGGATTTCTACTAACTTTTGACCTTTCTTTTCGGTCGCATTTCCCTCTATTTAATAATAAATAATTTAAAAAAACGCACAAATACTACTGGTAGTAAACAAACTGTGGCAAAAATTTTCTATACTCCGTGTAAACAAAAGACTATCGCAAATACTGTCGTTCGATTGACGTACACAGCCATCTCTTGATTAACGCAGCGCCGGTAGCTCTCGCAAAAAACCGCATAATACAAGTTTTTTAAGCTAAAACAATGCAATATTTTGAAAAAAGAACTACATTATAACCAGGAGATATCGGCAATGATACCGTTCTTGTCATTTGATCAAGGTTCAGAATTTATTTTCTGTAAAAATAGCGCTAAAACTAAAACCAAAACTGAGCGTGCGCTAAAAACGGCGAGACTATACTGACCATTTTTTTTATTTATACTCGTTATTACTGCTAGAATAAACCGATAGACCTAAATTTTGAATATGTTGTAACTAAATGTATAACTAATAAAATGATAGTATTCATATCTGTCACAACAAATTATAACAGAGATTTTTATCTCAAAGTTATTAATAGGCTCGGGCAATGTAAACAAATCGAAAATATATAAAAAATAATCCAGTTATTTAGGCTTGTCGGAAGCGCTAAAGACTCATGCGTATTTCTATGCAAAATTCAACACGATACGATAATTATTAACGAAATGACGGCAGGTTTAAAATTATTTATTTTGTTAAATCGGCGCGCAACAACGCAACGCGTCGCTGCCTTGTTTGCCTACTGGGCTGCCCGCGGCCACGCGCTAATGTCATTGTGCAATCCGGACGCTCAATTATTCCATAGATAATTAACTTTTGCATTTCATGCTTGCAAAATATACATGGTGTTCCAATTAATGAGATATTGTAGTTTTAAAATTTGTAATTATTTAAAATTATAATTTTAGACATACTGTATAAGCTAATATATTTTAGTATTACTGTGCAATATTAGTAATCAAAATTACTAGTAAATAAAACAACCTCAGTGCATTATCTGGTTTTAAAAACATCATTAATACGCCTAAAAAATACGCCATACGAAATAACGCATTAAAATTGTTACTGCAATTTCTAAGGATTTTAAATGTGTATTTCAAAAACCGATTTAAATGAGGTAGCCCTTGATCAATTATTAATGAGGCAAACCTTGATCCAAAAATACAACTTTAATATTTTTTATTTATTTGAAATAATCTGTACCTACCTTACAAAAATAATTTTAAATTGTAGCATATGAGTCCATCCTTGACCTCAACAATCAATTTCAATTTCCAAAAATTTAATCATTTAGCTACAATACTCCGCGTGGTTTGTTCAAATATTTCATGGTCACCCGGTACATTCAGCGTTATGAAAAAATCGTTATACAAAATCATGTTGCATCAATAAATGAAAGAACCACTATAAAAATGTGCATATATTATTAACAAAAACCTTTTAATAAATATTTTATATATAATGTTGATATGTACACTTTAGACCCCTATCTGAACCTGAGGTAAACACATATTATAATATGATCCTTTATCCCAAAATTCTGTACCCTTCCATCCACACCAGCCCTTGTTTTGTACAATACTTAAGTCTTCTTCACCAGTATAATGAGGATCGAGAATCAGAAACTTAATATTTCCAGTTTCTTGATTATAATCAACTCCTAGAATTGTATGAGCAAGGACACCACCACCTAAGAAAATAAAAAATGATGTCATGTGACAACTACCAAGTCATTTTCAAGAATATATAGGGACAATTAAAGCTGCGTTAGCTTTATCCCCAAGTCTGATCCACAGACCTATTGTATCGCTGACATTACCCTAAAGAACCAATGAGAGTTTACGAAATTCAAAGTTGCCAATGAATTTTGTACCATGCTTTTCATTTTTTCAGATATTTTAAGAACGGTTATTCCGAGTTAAATGAGATTTTAGGTGTTTATGTTTTGCTAAGTGCTTTAACATTTGACTTCACAAAAATCCAGAAAACGTACGGAAAGGGTGAAAACTACCCCCACCCCTACACAAATTTTAGTATAAATATTTTCCAACTCAACCGACGACAGATGTTCTTTCCGTAAAATGGTTCTTTTAGTTTACTACATTTTTTGTCTCGCCACATCGCATACTTTTTGAGAAAAATTTTTAGAATTTTTTATTTTTATTTTTTTAAAAATATTGAGTATTGATTTTTCCAAAGCAGACCGACAAAATCCAATATTCCGTGGACATAGAAACAGGTACGTATTTTTTGAATAAAATAAGTTAATTACATATAATTTAGTCCAGTGTAAAAGTAAAAGTATTTTGGTGTATTGTGGTGATTTAGTGTTTTATTTTGCTGTGTAACACCAAAGGTTCCAACCCCCAACTGTAACATAATTTACTTTGATACAAAAGTGCTTCGTTTGTCCATTAGATGGCATTAATAAAAAATAAACCCGTTCGTTAATTTAAAATTTATTAATTTTTTTAACCATTTATGAAGCTTGTTATCAAATATAATTTGTGGTACTAATATAAAATTTCATATTTTCGCCAACTAGATTAACAGAGCATAATAGTTTTTATTTGCCTCCATAGCTTGATGTGACAAAAAATATTTTTTGGAAGTTAGCTTCGGAAAAATATTTTTTTCCTTAAAAAGTATGGGTGATGGCGTTTTTTTACAAGAGACAAGAAATGTAGCAAATAATAGAAGTTGTCCTCGGTTGAGTTTGAAAATATTTATACTAAAATGTATGTAGGGGTGGGTCAAGGACTGCATATATTCTAAAGGACTGTTCGATCGATTCAAGTCGTCGCCGTCGTAGTCGCCGTGGATGCTTACGTCACGCAGGGACCAGCGCTCCACAGTACGGCTGATGATAATTCTAGCGAGACAAAATCTCAGGAACGATATTTGGGACTTAAAATCTAAGAACGTAGCAAATGGTCTAATATATAGCAACCAAATGGTTAAATTTATTTATTTATTAACAACTTAATTTATTAATAAATAAATAAATACAAGATAATAAAACTACGATATTATTCGTACATGACACACAAAAACCATACTGTAAACTATTGCTAAATAAATAAAAAATTAATAATAAAAAATACATAACAAATAAATAAAATGATCTCAGATGGGTCTCAACACCTTTCTTTTCATCGTCACTAAGGGTACAAACAGAGTGGGCATCTCGATGCTATGCTCGCCGCGATGCATTCTACACGCCCGTTTTAAGCACTATTTTAAAACGGCGAGTAAGTGCGCGTAGGATGCATCGCGGCGAACATCTCATCGATATGCCTCACTATGTAGATATCCTTAGAGAGTTGGGATCCAAAAATTGTATCACGACATTCCACAAAACGGCCAAACGGGTCTTAGATGTGTTTTAAAACGCCTTTTTTTTTGAAGGCTTCAAAAAATTCCTGGCAGCTGAACTGGTGCGAGACTCCTAAAAATCATGTTTTTTTTCAACAATTTGGCAACACCCGGTAAAAATAAATATGGTCATGGAAACTACAAACATTCTAGCATCAAAATTGCCTACTACTTTTTGGTAACTATTGGTAAATCAAAAGATCAACATCATTCAATATATCGATATTTAAGAAAAAGTGAAAGTTTGATATCTGCAGAACAAAGGCACGAAGAATTTTAACAAATTCAACTATCTTAATATGTACAGTATAAAAGTACATACCTTTGGCAATCTTAAGTACATAATTTGGCTTTGGAATAAAATGTATAAGCACTTGTAAATATTTTGTTTTCGTATAACCTCTGCCTTGCTGAGCAGAAAACGACCAAATTTGGTTGATAAAAATGTATCGAAATACAAAGAATATATAGAACCAAAAAATAATACATGCATTTTTTTATCAATTGGAATGTCAAAAATGTGTACTGATAAGAATAAATTCTTATCAGTACACATTTTTTGGCTTATTTCTAACCAAATGGTTTTGTCCCGCTAGACTTATCTTACTACGCCGTACTGTGCGCTCGTCCGTTAAACGCAAAAATAACTGTCACTGTCTAAAATATTTAGCGCGAACTTCAACTCGGTCCCTAGATGATGTGAAAAAACTGACAGTACAGGAAGATAGGAATCGAACTATCCTTATCTCTATAGTATCCTTGGGGGTGGGTTAGGTTAGGTTAGGTTGGTAATTTCATCCTTCCCGTACTTTCTCTTGGTTTTTGTGTCAGCCAAATGTTAAAGCTCTTAGTTACAACCTAACCTAACAAAACATAGACACATAAAAATCTCATTCAAATCGGGATAACGGTTCTTAAACTATCTTAAAAAACGTGTTTATTTTTTGAGAGTTTGATGCCCTCTAACGGATAAACGAAGCACTTTTGAATAGAGGTAAATTGTGCCCAATGAACTTATTTTGATTCCAAAAATACATAGTAGTTCTATGTCCATGTAATATTGGGACACATTGTATATAAAATTCCTAAAATGTTCCCAAATGAATTGTCCAATATTTTGTACAAAATTAATACAATATTGTGCACGTCACACTACTTGTGATTATATTGAAAATACGGACAATTATTAATTGCTCCACTAACTTGCGCAATGTAGCTTCTCAGAAGGACAAATCTATTGAACAATTCATAAGCTCAATAGAGAAGGTATCAAAATGGCCTATCGAGATGATGGAGACATTATTTCTAATGCTAATCTTGTTGCGTTCACATGATCTAGGGTATTAAAAATAAAATTGCTACTAAAACAACAGAGTGTTATCTTGAACTTTTTCTAAGTATAATGGTAGGCTGCTGGTGAAATCACAACTACAATAATTACCTATCATTATTGGCGATCCATGTACTTCAAAATGATTTACTAGTTCAGGTCCTTTAAATGCCATTTCTTCACCAGAACTCACATGTAATATTTTTGAAGTCACACCTAAAAATATTTTTCAAAATATTAGAAACTTTATTAGAAAAAAAGTAATTTAAGTACAAACGATAAATGACTCCGTTTTTGTTTATCCGTCATCATACAAAGCACGCTTGAGCTTAAAACCGTTTGATCATATCGCACAAATTACCTAATAAAGTATTCAATACAAAGCTAACTTCTGTTGAACCAATCCACTGTCGTGAGTCTATAAAACTACTGGGTTTATCGCCGATGTCCACCAGACATGTTTGAATATCCTTAAATGTGGGGACTTCTTTGTTTGCATATCCCTGAAAAAATATTTTCTTAGATATAATCAATTGGCCGCTTGAAAAAATATTTGAAAATTAGAAATTTTACTTTTAATAAGTTTTTGATTAGCGAACTGCAAATAAAACTTTTAAATGAAGTCAGCTCAGCAAATGAGCATATGACAGTTTTGTCATTTTAATTCAAACTTTGAATAAAATATTAAGGAAGGAGTATAATCGTAACCACCGTAATAACAAGGCCGGACAGCTTATTCGTGACGTCATCAACTGGAGGCCTAAACTTTGATTGCATTTGATACACTTTATACGTATATAATGGATATAAACTTTAATTGCACCGAATTTTTAATAAATAATAATTAAACATAAAATTTAAAAAACATCAGATTGATATCCTATCTCACACTATCCATCGTCATTGTATTTATTTATGCTGTAAGTGTGTCTAAGTTTCTTTATTTTCTTTTCCAAGTCTATCATTATTTTTTAACAACAATAGTTTTTCAGACGTGTATTTCCAATAGAATTTATGACAATTTTTACAATAACTTAGCATTATAAATAGTACATTGCGAACATTTTAATAATGGTGTTATTACTTTTAATGTAATCCAAAGATATTTTTGATAAGAATATTTTTTTATTGTGAATTTTGAGAAACTCCTCATGACTCCTTGCAAGACTTTGTTAAAAATTATATATTCAAATAAAACTATATTAGTTAGTTCATCTTTTGGAAACCCAAGACTGCCTTTAGTAAGGTTTTTTATAAGTGAATTTTGTTCAATATCAGTGTTGTCTGAAAATGTTAAATTATTTTTGGTGACATTAATGACTGAATCTTAAGTTTCTTTTCGCCTTCATATAAATGTCGAACACAAATACTGTACTGACTCCCGGCTAACTGTCTATATTTTCCAAACCTACTTTCAAGAGGATCAGTTTGCAAGTTCTCTAGTAAAACATACCTCATATTTTACTCATTAAAACAATATTTTATTACTTCAAGCTCAATCTATTACTCAACTCAAGTTAATAACTTAATATTGAACACAGATAAAAGTTAGAAATTTTTTATTATTTTCATCGCCTTTTAAAGAATTTAGTAAATAACAAGCATGACTAATAATTTGATCAGTATTAATATTAGGGTTCGGAAAACTACACGTTACTCTTAAAAACTACATTACATGTATTATCTGACAAACGGATCTAAAATAGCAAGATGAATTCGGGCAAAAAAAGTCGACGTTGTCACGCTTAATAATAGAAAAGCAAAGTTGCTCAATATTACCTATAAATTGAATATATTTTTGTTCTTTTCAGCATACATAATTATATATATGCTAATATCTTGACGTTGTTCTTATTGTATTAACGTATATTTATCTAATTAACTGATCTCCTTCATTCTGCCTATTATAAAAGGTAAAGTATTTCCTAAAAATAACGTCCGCTTAGGGCAAGCTGGCAACGCTGACAAAATTCATCATGGCATCCCGGATTCAACCAATCTGATTGGTCGAGATTCTCGCACGTCTTGCCGCCATTACCCCCAACTTTATGTCCCTCTCTAGGAATAGTAGAAACAGCCGCTACTACTGAAAACTCCAGTGGCGGTGTATTATATTGTGTTTTATGCCTTTAACTTGATTTCTGCTTATTGTAAGTACACGCGTTTTAACAAGTATTACTATATTTGGGAAATGACTAAACAAAATGTGGGTACATTTAAAGTAAAATAATATTATAAACTTTACTTGAAAATATTATAAAAATTCCTGATATATTTTTATGAAACACCGCACGCTCCTGGATATTTTATGAATGAAATCGGTCATGATTTCACAAAATTGCGATCCCCTTACCGTTGCCCCGTTGTTTCAGATCCGTTTGTCAGACTGTAGTTAATCGATGTAGAGGGTCTAGTTTATGTAACTTTCAAATATGAAAGGTTTGAGATGAGGTAAAAGATAAGTTAAAGCTTTAGAAAATACATATAAATATATTTGAGAAAACAGAAGAAATATAGCTTGAAATATAATATTCACATCTTATTATTTAGACATTATAAGGCATTATACCTTTTAAATTGTATAATTGCACACACACATAATCACTTTATAGTTTAAACACCTCTTTTTACAGATTTATAACTTTTTTCACCCTTCTATTATCGATTATAATTACCACGTTCGCACACCTACCGATAAATCGATGACTGTCAACTGCGGTAATACCAGTCCGCTACGCGCTACGACAGGCGCCGTCGCCCCGGAGCAGGGGGCGTGAAATATCGATAAAATACATAATATACACTATAAAAGATATCTATTTTTTATTGTTTTTTTCTCATATTATACACTATTGTGAACTTAAAATATTCCTTTATTAAATTTGATTGATAAAAAGTGAGAGATAAACATTTATTGACTGGTATGATTTTTTCCGTATTCTATTAAAACTATTTTTATATACTATAATATTCTTAAAAACTCGGAAAAGACATTTTAAAACTTCGAAATATATTTGGCGAGTGGAAAAAGATCCACAATTTGAACTTTTATCGGGTAATTATCAACGCTGCTAAATAGAGTTGGGCCTCCAGTTGGTGACGTCACGAGATAGTACAGTACGTCGATCCAGGGTCGCACTAGGCCAAAGGGGCCCGGATGGCAATGTAAGGAGGGGTCCGTGTGGATTTTTTTTGCGTATTTTTTCGCCTTACGTTTTGGTCAATTTTTCCGTATTATATTATCCCTATTTATTTAGTCACAGCTGTCCGGCTTTGTTATTGCGGTGGTTACGGTATAATGCTATCCATGTATTCATGCAAGGTAGACGGACAAAGGGCCTTAGGGTAGGGATCCTTGACAGTTCTGATTGACAATTCATTTGACACATTTGAATTTGATTTGAAATTTTGTGGATTTGTCAGTCTTTACTGAGCTTATTTTATGTTATTTATTATTTATTCTACTACTGATAGTTGTTTAGAGGTAGTTAAGCTAGAAGGAAATTTTGTAGCAGCACTTAAATTAACAGTATAAATTTTTAAATAAATAAAAAGACTGTAAAATAGTTGGTTGTGTAGTGTGCAGATGGTGTGCAGTAGATCTCGGTCAAAAATCGAGGAAAATAATGGAATAACTTTACGCTAGTAAGTGACTATACGTGTAGTAAACCGATCATTTATGAAATTCACTTTAAATAAACTAATTATATATTTTTTTGCATTTTTGCTTTTATTTAGTACTTGTCAAAGATTAGATGTCAAAGAATTAGATAGGTCAATTTGACTTACCTGCTTCAGTAGCGTATCGGATGTTTGTGTTAATAAATAATTATTATAACTTATCAATTTTTATTAGAATTGTATATTTTTATAATAATTTTAATAACTACCAACATTTATTGACAACGTAAAATAAAAAAAAACGAATTATTGAGTCTACCCCGTGTCTACCCTACATCATATTTTTATACTTTTCGAATAAAATTAGAACGGCACTGATAAATCGGAATTTAAGTCGACCATTCTAGGACCCCGTCGCGGTCGAACTAAGATTTTTGATATGCTCCTTCTTTAATATTTTTATTCAAAGAATTCAAAAGTAAATTTCGTCAGTGAAACGTAATAATCTGCTAATAATCTGCGTAATAAACTCCATTTTTTACGTTAATAAGTTTTTTATACCATTAGAAAGAGAAAAAAATACTCTATAAGTATGGAAAGCAAATACATTTTTTACAATTAAAGAAAAGTTGCTATTTTAACTCAATAATATCTGCTAACTCCCAGTGATCTGAAATAGCCACCGAAATGCTGCTATCTCCGTAATTTCCGTTACGATCACGCTAAAGCAAACACACGGATTCTTACTCGTATGCTCCTTTAGTACAGTACGTCGATCCAGGGTCGCACTAGGCCAAAGGGGCCCGTGTGGATTTTTTTTGCGTATTTTTTCGCCTTACGTTTTGGTCAATTTTTCCCTATTATACATATACAGGGCGAGTCTTAAATAAGTGCAAATATTTTTAGGGGTAGTATATTTCGACTCAAGAAACACGATTATGAGGTTTTTTTGCGCGAACATTTTTTTTTGGAAAATTTGGAATTTAAAAAAAAATTGGATTTTTTTTTAATTTGTAATTTAAAAACATACTTTGTTGGTAATATGGCAACATAGGTAGTAGATTAAATTTACAAGAAAGAAAATCCAGTGATTCTCAAAATTTTAGCAAAAAATTGGAAATTGCAAAAATGAAATAATTCGGTTATTTTGGATTTATTTGAAAAAAAGGTAAAGGGAAAATATTATGTTTCTTTTATCGAGATTTACCAGTCCTGAAAATATTTGCACTTATTTAAGACTCACCCTGTATAGAAATCAGGAAACTACCCTAATGCAAGATAAACCAATGCAATGTAAATGCAAATATTGTTAAGAATAAATAATGAACTATAAAGAGGGCCCGCGAAGGCTGGGGCCCCCCTAATAGTTATATTATAGAATATGGCCAGTCCGACCCTGCGTCGATCCGTTCTGTAAATACGGGGTATCCGTAACCGTAAAGGGTAAGGGGAAAAACGAAATTTTCTATATACGAGCAATTCATCGGCGTGCTATAAATATTTTAAATAACTACTTACTTGTACAAGAATTTCAAATATAACGACCGCACTGTTTTCCAAGCGCGGTCTACTACTGTTGTAAAAAAATAGGAAAAGCATCCCGTCAATTAAAGTTCGACAAATTTCCAAGTGGCCAATGTAATATCATTTGACTAGATTTCTTCCAAAATATAGGGCTGTACAGGGTGAGTCAACGATAGAGTAAAGTCCATTATCTCATTTGTTTCGAGGTTTACGAAAAAATGTTAAATCTAAAAGTTTTAGGGTAGGTCAAGATACACTTTCTAAAATTATTACAGAGTATACAGGGTGCTCCAAAAAAGTGTGGCGAATATAACATATGTTTTTTTAAATGCAATACCCTATTTTTTATTTTATTTTT